GGGGGTTATGGCGTCTCAAGCGAAAAAACATCGGCCCGGACGAATCGTGGATGGAACATCTTGTGCAGCAATCGATAGCGCGCAGTCCACAAGTCCATTGAGAACGGAGGGGATGGATGAATCCTAATAAAACACGGCCGTGAGAGGCAAGCGCCACTGCTGCGCCAAGCGCTTGAGGGCGAGACAGCGCGAGGGGCTCCACGATACGCAGCGGGGGTGGGGGTGGAAGGTGAGGAGGAAACACAGCCGGAAGCGACAGCAAAGCAAAATAAGGTACTAAATCGGAGAGAAAAAACGAGATTTTTCTCACCTGTCCGAGCACCTTCCTCGCAGCCTGCAGGTCCTTGTGGCGCACCTCGAACTTGGCCAGCATGAGCCAGATCTTGGCGAAGGTGAAGGACTTGTGCGGTACAACATCTAGGCACGCGCGGTACACCTCGCTTCGCAAGGGGAGGGAGCGGGGGGGGGGAGGCGCGAAGAGCAAACGAAAGCGAGGGCGGTGGCCGCGGCGGCGGTAGCATTAGTTCATGGACCAGTTGCTCGTAACACACAAGAGCCTTTAGCGCAGGTGCCCCCAGCATGTTGGACGTGATTATGGTTTTTCGCGCGTGTGTGTCGTGGAGAAAGTTGGGTGTGTCTTTATGGTGACACCAGCCAGGGGGGGGCAGAGGGGATGCAACCGACGGCCCGTACTCAAGAGCGGACGGTCAGAGTTTCATAACCCACCGTATTTGCAGTTCCTAGCCTTGTATCTTGCGAACCACCTTGGCACAAGTTCAACACAACACCTCGTGAGCAGAGCACTACCAGGAACAACAAACCTACCTCGGCATCCGACTCGCTGTTAACCGCGGCGTGCGTTCATCTCGCAAACCCTTCATTAGCTGCAACCCCCCATTTTTTGTCTTCTTGTGGCAAACTCTATCTCCCACGGCCTCTTGCCAGCACTGCCGTGTCGTGAGGAATAACTTGTCCGCGTGGCAGAATAGTAGGAATAAACCAGCGCAAATTGCTAACAAACTGCTGTCTGAGCGTGCTGCGAAACAAACGCTTACCGAGTCCGCTGTGCGTCCTCCGCCTGTAGCTCTTCAAATAGGGCATAGTTGATCCAGAGGTAAATGTAGCGCCTCCAGAATCGCTTCTCCAACACTGGCGGGACGTTGGCGATGGCGCGCTCGTAGACCTGCACACACGCATCACAAAGACATAACAAAAAGTAGGTCGTATCATAGATATTTGCGGCAACGGAAAATGAAGCATACAACCCACGGTTGTCAAACCAAAACCAAAACAAAACACGAAGAATTCAGAAAAGAGTGGTAGGCAAACCTGGTGTACCAGCCATCGCGTTGCCTCTCTCCGGACCCCCACTTGACCACGACAAGGCCGTTCACTGCTGTCGAGTTCATGCCCCCCCTCCCCCTTTTCTCTTACCCTCCTCGCCCGTTTTTCTCTATACCCCCCCCTCGCCACCCTTAGCTCTGTTGCTAGATCTGGTTCTCCGCCTCCTTCCAAATACTCCATTCTTGCCTCTCGAGTGCGGTCAAGGTCGCCGGTGGACTCCTCCAGCCTGAGGTAGTCGAACCAGTTGTCGTAGTCCAGGGGGGACGCCGAAGCGCGCTCCTCGTACTGCAGCCTCCTGTTGTTCATGATCACCTGCGCCGTACGGCAAAGAGCGCAGCACAGTACAACAACAAGAGAAGAATAAGGCAATAGCGAAGAGAACCGGGAGATGGTATGTTGGCGGGCGGTGGTCCCTTTGGCCGCGTAAAGGCTGGGAGTCATCTTCTACCGCGCGGAAGGAGCGACCATCCTGACGCGCACGGGTCACACCCCCACCCCGCCGCCGCCGCCGCCGCCGCCGCCGCCACAAGCAGGAAAACCCCCACGTCCCTCACTCAACAGAATCGGATCGAGCAAACAACTACGACGCCGACCCTCCGTCTACACTCCGGGCAGTGAACGGGTAGCACGCATGTCAGACATTTCCTCAGTCATGCATGTGTTGGCTCATATATTCTCTTGATAAGAAAAATGCGAAAAACATTGTGCCTCACTGACGTCCTCGATGCATGTAACATCACACATAAATACCCTGTCATGGCTAACCGACCTCCTCGATGCCCTGAACGGATCCGTGGCGCTTCTCGAAGCCGATGAAGTCGCGGTAAAGCTCGGGGACTTGCTCCCTGGGCATCTGGTCCAAGGCATACTTGTAGATCACACTTTCATTATTGCAAGAATTTTGGGCGGGATTCCCAAGAGATCCGCCGACAACACAGAACGAAAATGCGGGCGGGGGAAGGGAAGTGGGGGAGGGGGGGTATTCACCAATAGTGTTTTTTCTCAGGTGCCTTAAGAAGACTTGAAGCTGAAGTCGGGCGCACCACCTCTTTCTATATATCCCAGAGATGTAATTTCCGAACCAAACCTAGCCCACTGCGAAGTTGAAGCGCCCACACGACACGGTGTTAACTTGTTTCAGATGATGCATATTCGAAGCGATTTTTGCTTCGAGAGCGCTGCCTGTGGGTTGTTAAACTCCGTCCCCTCTCCCCTCCTTCTTCTCACCGGGCGCGGTCGAACTCCTTGCAACGCTCCTCGAAGTGGGCGAACGCGCTGAAGAGCTTCTCAGTCTTCTCGGAATCGGGCAGCTCGGCAAGCGCTCGCTCGTACACCCCCCTGGAGGCCGGGCAACAGGGAACCACGTGGATGGTGTTTACGGCGTGCAAACCAATTAGCGCGCGGGGGGGGAGGGGTTAAGAATTACGAGTCTTGCGACCAAGGCCATGGCTCGTCCCTCTCTGTCGCTGAACAGAAGCAGTTGAGCAATTGAGCGGGAATTAGCAAGCAAGAAACCAAGCAAGCAAGCACGCAAGCACGCAAGCACGCAAGCGACAGCAGGCAGGGAGGGACGAAAACACCACAACACCGCACAGCTCTCACCGCGCGAGCGCGTACTGCGACTGCTTGTCCTCCCATCGCGCCCACTTCAGGAACGCGCGAGAGTGTGGGTGCGCCTCCACGTAGCGCTGGAAGACAGACCTGCCGCGTAGGCCAGATAGAACGGACGACACAAGGGTCGAAAAAAACACAAAAAACAGACCTTAGCCAAGCACAAACTCTGCACCGCCGGTGCGCGCCAAAAACAACCGCCGTGAGCTAACCCCAGCACAATAGTAGCGAGTGCGGCAACGTAAGTGTTGCACTATGCCGTTTACCGATGAGCTCGAAACCAATCACGCCGACAGAGGTACCCCCAATCCGTGAACACATTCAGCAGTAAGGATGCTGAATTTTTTTTCTTCAACAACATTGTGCGTGAGGCGGGGAAGTGCCCTGCACAACTTCCCTCCCCTTGTTTTTGCATTCTGCGGGGTACCAAGCTTCTGAAAAACATGACGTCTTTCAAGACGACGACCATAAACGACACTGCAAGTACTTCCCCTGCTGCACACATGTAAACACGCCCACGGTGCATCGAGCAGCTTCATGGTGAGCGACGCTCACCGACCGGAAACGGTTTCCCCATCCTTCGACATTTAGAACCCCCTTCCCCGTCTTCATCACTGCCCTCTGTTCCCGCCAATCCCCCCCGCTACCCTCCCCTACCCCCTTGATCACCACGGTTTCTCTTGCTGCGAAAAACCTCAACCATCGCCCTTCCCCTGGCTTCCTGTCGTACCCCCCCACCCCCCCTCCCCTAATCCACGACCATCCCTCTTGCTCGTCTTCCTGGTGTAGCTTCCCCTCGTCCACTCTCTTTCTTGGCCTCACCTGGCCTTGGCCGGCTCCTCCTGGCGCATCTCGAACTTCACGTACGCGCTCCACGCGTTGTCCTCCGGCTCCCACTCCATCCACCTCTCGAAGATTGCTCGAGCCTTCGCCGGGTTTCCCAGCATTTCCTAGATTGTGATGGTAATGGGTATGGAAGCCACGGTGGTGGCGATGGGTAGAGATCCACGTACACGATGCACGCGGCGGTATGGCGAAAACGCGATAAGCCGAACCGAAACGCACAACATGTGACAAAACGGGGGAAACAGCAAGAGCAAGGTTGAAACCTGAAGCGAACTAAGGGCAACTGCCATGACATCTGCTCTCAAAACTACATGGATCGAATGTCGCAAGTTGGCGCACAAAGCGGCAACCGCAGTAGTTGCAGAACAGGCTCGATTCCAACCTAGTGAATTTGTGAGCAGCCATCTGTGAGCAGCTATCTCGAAGTGATTACCGAAGGCTCAACCAAAGCCGTTTTCGAAATCGTACAACGGCAAAAGAACAAACGAAAACCAGACACACGTTACCACATGAGGGTACCCAACCAACAATACACGTTAGAGAAATCAAGCAAAGAAGATGAACCAACGCAACGAAAACAACAACGCACAGGCGCTCGGACCACAAAAGACACCCATACAAGCCCGCGCAGCGCAGGGCAGGCCATAGGGGGTACCCCAAGCAAAGCCAAGCCCAGCGGTGAACGCCCCGCTCTCTTGCGGACCGCCTTGGTGACGATAATAAGTATTTCAAGTAACACTCGTATCAACGAAAAAGAGACGGGGGTTTCGTAACTCTAACGCCGGATACCCCTACTAAAACCAAGATTAACATTCATACTACGAAGTATTTATCAATGGAAAAGAGAGGATGGTTGCGTCTAACCCATACCTATAACCCCTACCAAAACAAAAAATTTCATCTCCTCGACAAAGCTACTGCCGTCCCTCGCTCACCTCCATGTAGCTGTACTTGTACCAGAACTGGTCCACCCTCGGCAGCAGGGCGACCGCCCGGTCCCACACGTTGCGGGCATGGTTAGGGAACTTGCACCTCATCTCGAACTCGGCGTAGCGCAGCCAGATCGTCTTACCGAGAGATCGCGGTGGGAGGAAGAAGACGGCGGAGGGGGGGCCAGGGGGGGCATAAAACCAGTTGCTCCTGACCTCAACGGTAATCTTTGAGACCATCTTTCGCCCCTCGTACTTACGCACCCGTGATACACCCCCATTTCCCAAACAAACGTATTTTGAAAATCGTCGTCTCTGCCTCCCAGCGGTACGCGGTGATTGGAACGTGCCGCAGAGGCTGCTTTGTTGTACCACTTCAGAAGAAGGACGCTGTCGTCCAACTCCCCCTGTCGGTAGTCGGTAGAGCCCCCATGACTAGAAAGCGGCTTCGCGGTTGTTATCCCGCAGACACTGTTTTTGTTGCTCAGCCGGTTAGCACAGTCTATGCTATTGAAAGAAACACACAAACAGGCACTCACTCATCGGTCAGCTGGTTAGCGCGGTCGATGCCAATAACAAAAAACACACACACAAACGACTAACCTGATTGCGGTAGTCAACCTCCAGGGAGCGCTCGTAGACGCTCCGCGCACGCTCGAACTCCATCTGTGACTCCTCCCACGTCGAGTACTTCAACCAGTTGCCGATGTGCTCTCGCTGCTTTCGAATGGCATCTTCGAACTGAAGGGGCAAGGGGAGTGAAATGGCACACGAAGACGACGGGGGGGGTCGTGATAACTGCTGTGAGAGCAATTGGCGCAGCATATGCTCTTTTCCATGGCTATGGAAATGCACTTCATGAACGATGCTGTTGCTCACACATGCATGTCCATCCAGCAGATCTCCAACGTACGCTATTCCCAATACACACCAAGGTTGAACAAAACGTCCTTATTTTCTTGGCCCGCCAATAACGAGGTCTTCTCTATTCGTTGGTCAGCCGGGTAGCGATGTCGATCATAAAACTTGCGCTCTGTTGCCAAGTGTGACCTGTAAATTATCTGCAAAATGTCTCAATTCCTCAAGACTACCGTATTGACACGAGGTAACACATACCCTGGACCGATTTTCAAAGCTCGATTAATCCACGACGAAGCGGATGCACAAACGAAACGATGCATCTTCGAAAAGATCTCGACGAGACGGTTTCAACGCCGCCGTTTTCAGCGCTGTGTCTGTTCCTGCAGTTGAGAAATCGAGCTTCGAAAATTGGTCACGGGGGCGTGTAATCTTGTGTCATATACGGTAGCCATCAGCAGACGGCAGACTCTCAACAATGATAGCACGCATTTACAGCTATGGTGGGTAATCAAGAAGTTTACAACGACGACTTCTCGGTGTCGGGGTCAACACGCACATACCCCTCGGATGCGGTCCTCGTCATGTTTCGCTGCACCGCGCCAAGAGCAAGCCCCATACCTAAGTACGGATGATACCACCCCCGCCTCCCCCCCCACATGAACTGCTGTTGGGCGGAAAAACAGGTCAACGGAAGAGGGGGGCAACGCGCTCCAACAATAATAACGCGTACACCACCGCGAGTGCAGCCAACACACACGCTCAGTTACCCACGGTCGCTGACGACGAAGTTTCCCTCCTGCTGGTACCTGCAGAGACACCCAAGCCGTTGGGGAGCGCTGCGGCAGCTGCTCGTTACGGTCTCTCTGCCATCCCACTCAATGGCACCCTAACGTATCACGCAACGTAACGGCCCCCCGACGCCGCCGACCTCTCGTCCTGCTGATGTCTAGAACTATAACTAAAAATCTCTGACTCACCTCCTTCCGCTTCCGCATCCGGAAGACGCGCAGCTCCTCCTCATCCGTGATCTGCTGCCGTGGAGCCTTGACCTCGACATCCAGCTGCCGGTCCTTTGCCTCTCGCAGGATCTGCTCCGCGGTGATCTGGATCGACGCCGGAGCGCGATTCTTCGCCTGCACGTTGCGGTTCGACATGGTGGATCAGTGGTGGTGGCGGCACAGCCCCCGAATCCCCGGCTGCGAGGCTATGATGCCAGCTGAGCAGGACAGGCCGGCACCTGTGGGTGTGGCCTTTGTCGGGGTCGCGAGCTGGGAACTGGGAACCCCCACGGGATATATCGATGATGGTTTCCATTTGACGTGGCCCCGAAAAAACGGAGATCTCGGAGATCTCTCGGTTCCTCCCTTCCTCCCTCCGATCTCTCGGAGTGTCCTGTGTCCTCTTTCACCCATCATAGTAGCATACAGCCAGCCAAAACATGGCACGGCTGCTCCCGCCGCCCGCAATCATCTCCCAGAGGAGAGTCGTAGTGACGGGACTGGGAGCTGTGACCCCGCTGGCGAACGGGATGCAGGCGAGCTGGGAGAGGCTTCTCGAGGGCAAGTGCGGCATTCGGCGGTTGAAGCCTTCGTCGCTAGGCTCCGACGGGCACAGCAGCCGTAAGGTGTGGCTGGGGGCTGGGGGCTGGGGGCGGGGAAGGACAGTCGTTGTTGCCTCTTCGCTATGCCTCTTCGCTGCGCCTCTTTCCCGTGCACTGTTTGGTGGGCCCGCTGTGGAATTACAGAGTATTTTTCAATCTGTGGGACCAACGCGGCAAATCATTGCATAGCTCATGTTGTTGCGAACACCAGATGGAGGCTTGGACGTGTGCCGTGTGCTGCATTGCTGTGCTACTGCTGTAGCAGCACCGACTAAGTGAGCACGCCCACACAGCAGTGCTGCTGTGGGCAGTGCGTTCGGTGCCAGAGCTGACTAGTAGAAGGTGAATAAACCTACAGTAGTTGCGCACGGCCAGCTCGGGGAGGGCTCACAATCAGCAATGTTTTTAGCAACTGCCCCTGATGATTGAGGGAGAGCGGCCGTACAATGGACACAGGCGACAACCAATCCGCGTTGGTAAACAACATGTGGTCCAATTGCAGGGGACTGGCGCCAGCCACGTCATCCATGAATGTCAATGCTGGAAATTTCTGGATAACAGAGATGCCTTGGTGATGTCCTACTGCTGCTGTGTAAACCAGTGCGTCCTGGAAACGCCAGGGTTAAAACTCGCCATCCAAGGAGCGTCCCCGTCCCCTTCTCTCTCTCCTGTCCTCCCCGCTCCCTTTTCCCGCCAACATCTGTTCTGCTTTACCATACAAAAACCTCAATCGTGAAAATTCTACCAGCTATCCGACAGGATGACGACTTTCCCGACATCCCTGGCTGGTGAGGTCGATCGCGGATTCGAGCGAGCGGGGCAGTTTCCAGGCCCGGATTCCACCGCCGCCGCCACCAGCCTCCGCGGCACACCGGAGTTCATTCAATTCGGTAAGGATCCTGATTCATGGCGTCTCTATACGATGTAGATTAACTTCGCTTTGCCACGGGTGTGGCATTTGGTTTATCAGTCATGCGCTTGGAAAGTGTCGTAGGGTGTTGCCCTATGGAGACTGTTTGCTTGAGGTATCACCTCTATCGTGTGTTCAGGCTGCAATGACTGGCCTGGTTTCTGTGGCAGTTGGACACGTGCAGAACGAGGGAGGTGGTCTGGTGAAGCTGTTGGTGCGAGAATGACAATCACAATAACAACACCTAGCCGCAGCACCAACACCAGCACAATTCAAGTAGCAGCGAAACACACTGACAATGAGAACACCAACACCGTGAACTATCATACCTCATCTACCACTTTCGCAGCCAGCACCGCGTGCCTGATAGTTACCGCCTCCGCCGAGAGCGGGCACCACTATGTCAAGCCGAAGGCAAATGCAAGCTCAAAAGGCCTGGCGTAGATCGACTGGCCGCTGCCTCGATGTCTCGCTAGCTTCCATCTGAATGTATGACGTGTCTCGACTTGTCGTGGGTTGGCGTCCGTTCGCTCGAATCAGCGATGCATGCGGCGAAGGAAGCGCTTGATATGTCGGGCTGGAGAGCTGAGACGGAAAGGGAGAGGGACAGGGCAGGCGTAGCGATCGGCTCGGGAATTGGTGAGGACGAGGAGAGAGTGGGAGAGAGATTGTTCATGTGTGTGAGAGAGAGAGGGAGGGAGAGAGAGATACGCAGAGAGTGGGGGGTGGGAGAGAGAAGCGGGAAGCAGAGGAAGAGAGATGGGCGCTGTTGTTTAACCACCCGCTCGACGCGTCATCGCCATTTATCATCATCGCTACATTTGTGTACTACAACAGGCTCTGTAAGGTTGGCACAAGAACCAATGCAGAAGGCCGCGTGCGTGTGGTTGCATGCACAGCATAGTGCTTCGCGCGTGAGTTGTGTGGTGCCTCCACCCCCGACCTTGGGGGGGGTGTACTCATAGTCGTGCATGCCGTAGTCGTCAGACCATTGACCTCGCATCCCTACAAAGCCGGGACGGAGCACG